AAACACAATGATCCTAATGTTTAATACAATTACAGTACATGATTTAGTTCGTAAGCTGTTAAATGCATCCATGTGTGCTGTGTGTCCAGTCACCTACCTGTGATGCACAAGTGCACACATGCCTGCTGGGTATGCGTGTATCTGTGTGTGTGAGAGAGAGACTGCACTCCCTCTACTTGATGAGGAGGCCATCTTCAGCACCAGCACAGGGCTGACACGATATCGCAGATGGCTCAGCATATTCTTATTCTCTGTGACAGCACAAATACACACCAGGCAGGACACCCCTCCTGGAGCTAGCCTAATTGCACACACAAGCAGGTTTGTTGCAAAATACTAAAAACTAACGTAATTATAAAGTGTGATATACTGTGTATGAAATAGCTTTAACAAGCTGTTATATAGTCGTACAGTTTGTTTACAAATGCTTTTTTTTTTTTAGGGCAGCTGGTTCAAAGCAAGACAAAGAAAGATTATATAGGATCATGTGATTAACAAGAGATAAGGAAGTCACTGAAGATCTCACAGAAACAAATCATAGATGGACCAAATAAACCTGCTGTGCATGTGACAGGATTAACCTTTGAAATCAGTGGGTTAGGCAATCTGCACTTCAGCATTTTAGTCTGAGAACTGTATTAAATCCCAACGTGCAAAAGGGATTAAATAAATGCAACATTTTCGAGAAAAACCATAAGGTTAACCTAAGTGAACAGAGCAGTTGTACACATGCAAATTGCACAGTCAGCCACAACAATCAAACCACTGCCTAATATTGCGTGAGACCCCGTGTCCCTCACCGATCTCTTGTTTCTGGTTCAATTTGTTTCTAAACCGTCGACAGTAAAATATTTGCATAGCTCTTTTTAACTCTGAATTGTACTTCAGTTGCGACAAAACTATTTTGGGAAACAAACTGTATCAGGTGCTAATCCGACACCCGATGTGTCCTTCTAACTTCACCGCGATTGTCTTGTTGCACTTCCTCTCATTTGAGTATGTTGTCCAGATGTTTCATTTGACTAAAAAAACAGAGATAACATCTGGTCACGTGTTGTGCCAACAGACACAGCGGGCATGTGAACAGGGAATTTTGACACAAATGGAAGCTCACCTGCCAGTGTCGGACATAAACCTTTGGAGTTACCCTGTGTTGCCTGTCTGTAGGACATTTGCAACAGTTCTTTGCAGGTTGCATGTCATGGCCTAGTGTGCACATTGCATGCACGGTTGATCTAGAAGGTTTAGATGCAAGAAGGTATATCTAAACCTGTGTAAAGCGCTTTCAATGCTCAGTTAGAGTAAAAAAAAAAGTCCATTTACCATTTGCAGCCATCTGTATGTGATATTGCTATGTGGGGTGCGCTTTGGCCGCCACCTTGTTTAGATGCATGGTCATACCCATTTGACAGTGATCGATGGCGCTCACTTACCTGTAAGCGGTTTTAATGTCGTGGCTGATCAGTGTACACGCTCAGTGTGTCAAGGATCTATGACACTGCACTTGTGCTCCAGCTTAAACACTGACAGGTGAGCTGAGACAGCAGCCTTTCGCACACCGACTCACGAACACCTCCCAGCAACCCGCCATACATGTACATGACCCGAGTACACAGACTAAACACACAGCTGCTGGTGTGTGAAGCTATATGCTCAGTGTCCTACATAAAAGAAGATGGCTCGCCAAATTGGACATAAGTAAGAGCCAGTGGGGAGGCTGTGTGTGGTGAGTTTATTTTGGGATTTAGTGCTGTGTGTTATTTAGGGATGAAGATTGTATTGGTGACTCTGCTTCTGTGTTTGCATAAGTGGGAGGTTGACAACAGTCCCCAGAGAGAGAGAGAGAGGGACATTTAGCTTAATTGTCTCCCTCTTCAGAGTGCGACAGTGTAAATGGCAGCCTGTAACCTATGATTATTATGTTTTATTAGCAGTTTTTAGAGGACGTGTGAAGGCATAGTAACACTTGTTGACTGTTTTAACACTTCTTAAAAAAAAAAAAAAGTAGTAGCAGGGGAGATTTGAGTCAGAGGGAAACTAACATATGTTGGTTACGTTTCAGTGTCCAAACCCATATTCAAAACAATCAGGGTTTCACAATAGAAAACACAGCAGCAAGACAGTCAAGGTAATTACAGTGCTGTTTAGCAGACACGTCATTTAGTCCATAATAACAATAATTTGACTCTGCTATTGTTATCGTCTCCACACTCTTCTGCTAATCTTCTTTTGGTTATCTGAATTAGTCCATGTGCTGCTGTGGTGTGCCATGTGTCACACAGGAAGGTTGCAGCATATGTCAGTTCCTGTCACAAACGAAAGCGCAACACTGCTTTTACCCATCAGTTTGTCTTTCTTAATCTATAAAGGAAACGTTTGTTCTCTCTCTCTGTGTGTGTAATTAGAAAATCGTCTCGCATCCTGTTATGTATTTGATAAAGTTTCTTCTGCTGCCACAAGACAAGAGGTCATAATTCTCTTTGTGCTGATCGTTTAGTTATCAGATTTTCACTGACGTAGAAAAGACTTTGAGCACAATTTCAAAAGTGAGTTTTTTTCTTAAATTTATTTAAAAAAAGACCTCAGAGTTGGTTAGTTAGGCTTTGGCATTTCATAGTTTTAGTAAAAATTAAATTAATTAAAATAATTTAATAATTTAATTAAGTAATTAAAGTAAAATTATTTTAAAAAAAAAACTTATTTCTCTTGTTTACAGGCTTCAGTTGGAAAAAAAAAAGCCTCCATTAATTACATCTTTGAGCCTGAATCTTTGCTGCAGCGTGGGGTTTGTAGCAGCTCACATCCCTCCCACTGCAAAGCTTCTTTGCCAAATGCAAACACAGGCCCTGGGCTCCCTATAATTATTAGCACATTGTCCAAGGAGGAGGGAAATGCAATGTGCAACAGACTCTGAAGAGCTTACAACTGCCTGGAAGCTGAATGTCACTCTGCATGCTGCTTTAACGGGGCTATTGAAACAGGCCCCATGACAACCAAGACGCTGTAACCTTCTGAGCTGGATCTCTAGCCGATGCAGCTTGGTGTGTCAGGAGTGTTCTGCTAAATAGAACTGCAGGTAAGGATTCAATCAGAAGACAAAGAAGACAAGTATCCGGGCTTGATACTTATCCCTGACACACTAACAATCACTGGGTGGTAAAGTCGAAGAGACATGTGGATATGACTGAATATAATGTCCTTGTTTAACAGGGAAGCTTAAACTGTTGCAGCAGTGAATTGAAAAGATGCATCATATTGTTTTTTAATGTAAAACCTGATTTTTATTTGTTTTGTTTACATACATTAAAGTATAATTACCTCATTTACACCCTACTTTCAAATCTATACCCACACCACCACCTAAACATATTTGTTTGAACATGAGGAGAAAACGGTGGAGTTCTTTACTTGGCCTCTGACTCTTTCAGCAAAGTGAGCACACTCTGTGGAAACGGCTGCGGGAGGATTCAGACAGCAAGTGTCTGAGGTGTGAGAGGCAACGTGTCGGCTTGCGTAGCCTCCGAGTGTGTGTGTGTGTGTCACATGAAGTTAACCTAAACGTAAACCCAGCCGGTGCTGCAGTTAGCAAGCAGAGCAAGGATTACAGCGGCACGTAAAACACAGAATGCCGAATCAGCGCCGAACAAGCAGGCGAATGCTTCTTAGAAAGCGCGAGACGCTTCGTTGATTGTGCAAGTTCACGAGCTACAGACCTGTTATTGATGACACGTGCACGAGAATGGTTTCCTGCCCTGCTGAATGAAGAACTGAAGACAGACTGAAATCAAAGAGGAACGCCTGAATAAACAAAACGAGGACGGAGGAACTGCCAATGAGCTCGGTTTTAAAGTATTGTTTGAAACCACCCCCCTTCTCAGGCGTACAATGGTCTAAGTCAACCCCCACCCTGAGACATACAATGGCAGTGCTTCAGATGAGAAAAAAAAAATACTGAATGCATATAAAAATGAAACAGGGTTGAGTGTAGGAAGGCTGTGTGAGTGCAGCTGTTCTCACTGACACAGGTATTTCCTAATGAAAACATGAAATGATATAATCTATTTAAATAACAGTCTTAAATCCTGCTCTTTAAGTGAGGGCCACAGGTGAGCCTGACAGCATTTGACACCAGCCAATATGTGCAGCGCATCTGCTGCCGAGTGCAGTGACAGCTGCACAAAAGGCCAATGACATGTGCAGCACAATGAGCTGGCTCGGCGCTGATGTAACATCAGGAACGGTTTCAAAATGCTCTCCCTTGCCACATTTCCTCTCATTGAACCCTCTTGAGAAAGGCATTCTGCGGGTTTCACTTTGATTGCATCCACAATGAGAGTCATGAATGGAAAGTCATAAGCAAACAAGATCACGCCTGAGAGCGCCGGGGCACGGCCCCTCGGACCTTCTGTTGAAGTGGTTTCAGTACGAGAGAAAAATCCAGAGCGCAGCGGCGGTTTCAGGAGAGATAGCCCGTCTCATTTGTGTGTCTATCTCAGCGTCCTTCGTCACATGTGCGCTTTCCACACAGCAACAGGTCAAACTTCAAACCGACACACACTCGCAGAGCAAACAGCTCGCGAGCAAACAGAGCAAATGCAGAGATAAACAGCAAGAATTCCTGCGCAGGAATTCCTGGACTCTGACTCCTCTGAATATTTGTACATTAACAAATCTGGGGACGCTGTCATACCTTCAGCTATGTCAGCTTTTAAGGAAGCACTTTCCTCCTTAAGTTTAGAAAGTGTCAAAATATTTTTTGACAGGTGAAGCGCCAGGACTTCACCTGTCTGTTGATGTAGTTCAACCTGTTTTCATTTCACTCCTCAACCACCAATTTCCATGACAACTATCTCCTTCCTTCAAAGCATTTCCTGACTACCCAGTGATGTCACTCCCCGCAATTCACACCCTCCTCTTTTTGGTACAGAGAGAGGAACCTGACCTTCCAAACGCAGCCATGTCCCTACTTTTGTTATGCAGTGGAAACACACACAAAGGTCTGTGCTGCTCTGCGCGGAGGTGAAAGCATGGCTTTCAAACGGCGGCCTGATCTCAAATGCGTGCTTCGGGGCAGCTCGCTTACTCGGGGCAAAATGCCAGGGCGGTAAAGATCTTTTGTGATGCTGACTATCCTCAGATGTTGCGCAAAGGCAAAGAAAGGCACTGCCCAATTACTCAAAAGAAAATAAATTCATTGTACTTGTATTTTAGGGAGAATCTTCAGCGGAAAAATGTGTAATTGCCTCATTAAAGTTCTGATTCAGGCTCAGTATTACTCACCATTACTAAGACAGTGAATTACGGTCCTGTTCCCTCTGGCTTTTAACCTACCATGGCTTACAGATCAGCAAAACTTGCTTTCTTTATGAATCCAGCACTCTGATGACCAGAGTGAAACTTTAAGACTTGAGGCAAAGTAGTTTACCTGACAATCACTTCTCTGAAACTAGAGATCTCATCATTTATTCACAGCGAATGACTCAGACACAGACACACGCACTCAACAGCAGAAAGGAAACAGGCCGAGGCTCACTTCGCTTCGCGTTCGTTCGAGTTTCTTTCAGTCATTATAACGCCCTGAAGCTCTCGTTTCCTCTTTTGGGAACTTTTATGAAATATGACTTTTGCTACGGTAGCAGCTGCTCATTGAAAAGGCATCACTTCCGTACTGATCTGGATATATAATTTTTTTTTATTATTTTATCAGCAATAGCAAAAGAAAAAAAAAAAAGAAGAAGAAATAAAACAGCGGCATCTATAAAGCGTTAACAGAATAGCCGGTTTGGTGTTTGCAGGACCATACAGGCTGATGATTTTAAAAATAATAATAATAATTAAAGAAAAGAGAAGGGGGTTGAAGTCACTGGAGCACCTGCATTGGAGGAGGAGGAGGTGGTGGTGAATGGGGAGGGTTGGGTATTTGGTTAACATTTGCTGGGGTCCAAAAGTCAGTCACAGAGAGTAAAAATGTGAACAGCCAGCTTGTTGCTAACCAACCCCTCTCCCTCCCTCCCTCGCTCTGTCCTGCAGTGCAAACTCAGCGACTAAGAATACCTTCTGCTGTCTTGATTTTGGGGAGGGGAGTGTGGGGACACCTGTAACTCGGGTCCCTCTTAAGGCAGCCGAAACTACGAACACTCAACAGTAACGGAAGCTCGAGAGGAAACGCTAAGACTGGTTGTAACAGATTCAAACCCTGAAACAACAAAAATGTATAGATATATCCATATCACAGTGTGTACGTGTGTGTGTCAGAATATCAAGCGTCCACATAGTGTCTTTCGAACAAACCGCCACAGTAGACATTATGGATGGAATCACTGCACATGAAATAAGTAACTAACACGTCCTCATTCATCCCAGTACAATCGAATACAAAAGGAAGGTCCTAACATATTCATAAACACGCATTCTTACAAATTACAGCGGCAACTTCGACCAATGAAGGTGATATGCGGTTGTGCTAGGCAATGGGCTTTTTTTTTTCCATTTGTTTTTTGTCTTTTTGGACTTTCCCCATCCTTTGGATATGTAGCTGGGTGATGACTGAGAATACTGAAGCATGGGGTGAAAATATAAATGTGTCCCCCATAGTCCCCTGAAAAAAAAATTACACAAAAAAAACAAAAACAGGGAGTTAAAAAATAAAGAATTTGCTGTAAAATAAAGAGTACTGTATATTTAAACAGTGCTGGTTATACAGAGTGTGAACCAAAGCAAGCTACAAAGAAAAAAAAAGCCAAGAAATATGTTGGTTTTTTGCTTAAATGAAATCTGTGATTATAGTGATGTCAACATTATCCAAAAAAAAGAGAAAGAAAGAAAGAAAACTAGAAGTAAATGCTACCCTCTTTGATACATACTCAGCAGAGGGGTCGTGGTATTAATTGCTTCAGATTGCATCTTTTTTTCTTTTTACTTATTATTTTTCATTCTCGGCTACTTCTTTCGCCTCCAAGTGTCCAGGCTGGTGAGAAAGGAGGAGGAAGGAAGGGAGGGAAACATTAAGACTTATAATTTGAGGTAAGCCAGGTCAGGCCCTCGTAGAGTCCGTCCCCTGTCGTCGCACACGAAGGCTGAACGTACCAATTCCTATCCCTGATCCGCGTCAGGCCCAGCTTCTCCTGGATCTCGTGTGGCTTCATGGCATCTGGGAGGTCCTGCTTGTTGGCGAAGATGAGGATGATGGCGTCCCGCATCTCCCGGTCGTTGATGATGCGGTGGAGCTCCTGCCTCGCCTCGTCGATCCTATCCCTGTCGGCACAGTCCACCACGAAAATGAGCCCCTGGGTGCCCGTGTAGTAATGTCTCCAGAGCGGCCTGATCTTATCTTGTCCCCCCACGTCCCACACATTGAACTTCACATTCTTATAGGTGACAGTCTCCACGTTGAAACCAACAGTGGGGATGGTGGTGACTGACTGTCCCAGCTTCAGCTTGTACAGGATGGTAGTTTTCCCAGCAGCATCAAGTCCAAGCATCAATATTCTCATCTCCTTGTTGCCAAAGATCTTTGAAAGCATTTTCCCCATCTTGTTTTCTGTTCATAAATACTTCTTTAGAAGATATAGTGAAGCTTCTCCAATGAGAAGAAAATAGGGGGGGAGATATATCACTGAGAAGTTACAGTTTCACTGTGTTGCTACTGAAAGTCCTCCACGTGATGGCAGCGGTGGGCTGACACAAGTGTCAATGTTCAAAAGGTGGTGGCTTGCAAGTTTGTACAGTACAGTTAGCTGGTCTGTGGTGATCTGACCTGAGCATTCAGTAGAAGCAGTGTGTATGGAGCCCTCACAGACTTGAGTGGGGGTCTGTTTTCATGATCCAATGGATTCCGAAGTAAGAAGAAGAAGAAAAAAGCCCGATATGTTTCAAAGTCGCCTATGAGCACTGACTTCCGTCAAAAGCCACATTTCAAGTTTTTTTTCCGTTCGAAATCCTGTTGCTCTCCGCGGAGCTGGAAACTGACACAAAGTAATGCCTTCTCACCAGAAGCGGACTATACAAAAATCAGGCCCAGTTCAAGCCCGGGGGTTCCCACTTCCTCCTTAGCTGCCGGCTGTCCACAATTGGCCTTAGCTAATTCCAGTCGGTGAATTTTCAAAGCTCGGCGATTTTCTTGTTAAAAAGCCTAAATTAAACCTCTCCGGTCCGTTTCTGCGCCGGGACATCCAGAGGAAGAGCGCTCAAAAGGTCATTGATTCATCCGACTTTCTTCTCTTCCCCCTGTGACACAGGAGCGGTCCAGAGAAGGGAGGGGTGTTAGTACAGAGGACAACTTTGGATCCGAAAAAAATACTCTTTTCACACACAGAAAAGCAACACGGTACAGATAAAACGAAGACCGCGGTAAATACTTACGTCTGCGGCAATCATCCCCCTGTCCCCGGACCGTTTCTCCCCGCTCTTGCCGCTCTCTGTCTCTCTTCCTCCCTCTCTCTCTCTCTCCAGCCGTTCAGTCACAGCGGTGGCGGTGCTGTGTTACCGGAAAAGGTGCGGACCCAGATCAGCCGCCACTTCCTCTATACCGCTCACACACACTACTGATACATTCAGGGGCTACCTCGGAGCTCAGAAATTTGGCTACATTGAAAACAAAAGACTAGAAGGATGGTGCACAGAAACTCTCTACAAATCAATCTTCATGTCCGTATTCCTCCTTAAACATAACAGCTAGACGATTAGTAAATTAGGTAATTAATACTCAAATAATCTTTAATTCGATTTATTAGACAGCCCAAAATGAAATCGTTCAAAGAAATAAAAAATCGTTTAAATCTGCACCAGATTATTGATTTAACAAAGTTATGCACTGACGTTGTAATTGTCTCAAAATCCACGCTCCGTAGAAACCACCGTGGACGTTGGGAAAACACACCCTTCATTTAGATTTTAAAAAACGCGACTGCCCCTAAACGCACTCCACGCCATTTCGCATGCGCGCCCAGAAAAAAAGAACTGCAGACCGGTCCATTAGGCACTATTGCTGACGCCATTTGGGCGTTCATTATGGATGTAATCGCCTCTGGTTTAACGTACCGCAATGAAAACACACAAGACCGCACATATGAAACACATGCCATGATTTAGTTGGCCCGGTGGTCTCAGGAGACGGTTTACTTTCGCGTCTTTCTGACATGTCTTGTCATCCATTCAAACAGTTCCTGTATTATTAGTCTGTGACGTGGAGAATGTGAGTGAGTAGGGCGGGAGGAACTACAGTATTTCATTGGTGAAAGCATCACCTGACACCAGCTTATTAATTTAGGCTGCCTAAAGAAAGACACGGTCAGTATAAATATAAGTGAACTCGTGTTTATTGCCATAATAAATTATGAGAGGTGATTCTAATATCAAAAAAAATAGTCATACACTCATAAGCCTTATTCAAAAATAAGGCTATGAGAATAACCGTCCCAACTTTACTTTTGAAATGGGTTTAAATGTGAGATTTTACAAAGGGGCCTCACCCTGTTTTTCATTCTGTTGTGCCTGCCAGTTTAACATCTAACTATTATTACTGTTCTTAGAAGTTTCTTAAAGTAAAAAAAAGTTGTCACTGACTGTATAAAAGTAAAAAGACATAATTTTCATAGATTTAATCAAATCTAGGATCTCAAATACCGCTCCACATTTTCAGGCACAAACATCCATGATAAGGATCTCTGAAATTGTTGTCTACTTGCAACTGAGGCGAGGCAGCTGAATAACAAACATGCCAGTGTGGTGCATAAACTTGCAACACATGTGGATCTGCCACAGTAATATAACCACTGAGATATTAAATTGGTAATATTGTATTGTAACAGTAGCACTCAACAAAGTGTGGAATATATTAGGCAGCAAGTAAACAAGTTCTTGAAGTCGATAGGGTGGACAAATGTCAGGATTGTGACGAAGTGATGCTGACTAGGGACAAAGTCTAAATGAAAATATAGTCATAAAACTGATAACATCTTTACTGGCACATAGCTGGGTTAGGTTAACTAGAAAACTCCCACACAACAGTAACAGACCTACCTGACTTTACCTCCTTGCTGCAGCTTGCTGAGTCCCAAGTGATTAATCAGATCAATAGTGGTTTGTTTAATAAAACGAAATGCTTTAATAAATATAATAAAAGTGAAATACAAAATTTAATTCTATACCTAGAGAAGTTGTTTGGGGGATTTATATGGAAGAATAAAGTGGTATAAAGCTTGGTTGATTGTAAATGTTTGTTTTTATATTAATAAAAGTAAATTCAATGCAGTGTAACGTATTGTACAAAAGGCACAGAAGATTTAGAGCTCACGTTTAATATTGCGTCATGCGGTTTAAAAGCGGTTGAATTCTTGTGTCAGTGTGTGTACAGTAAAATATTTAAGGTTTATATGCAGCACTTTTAACAAACACTGCAACTGCAGGAAAGTGTATTTATTTATTTCATTACTTCTGGAGGAATTCACAAAAGTTATGGGCTAACTTCAAAATATTGTTTCTGCATTTTAATTTCATCATAAAATGTAAATTGGCAAGACGTCAAGAACAACGAATAGCGCGCCGTCGCTGGTGGGTGGTAGTTCGACTGGGCATGCGCACACTGTCCCTCTCATCTTCCTCCAACTTAAGAATGGTGTGCGAAACGCGGCCGGTCGCAGTAGTGTAGATAAAGTGAATTCAAAAGCTGCACTCAAGTCCACGGGGGTAAGTAAATTGACGCAACAGATACGGATAAGATTCTTAAACGTATTTTTATTTGTTGGTTTGGTTTTATCTGACTAGTAACGAATTTAACAATCGCTAGTGGCGAAATGGGTAACATTAGCCTGTTAGCTAACGTGCTGCTGTTAGCTAACTGCTACCGACTATTTCCTGGAGGCCTAAGCAAATGCTGTACATGTAAATGTCCTAGTTACGATGTATGTAACAGTTTCCTATTCGCTATTCTGTAAACGTTGCTATCAACGTAAAGAATCGGTGAAAATGTAGATAATTAAAGACGAATAGTTTGTGTTGGACCGTACTAAGCAAGCGCGTACACGAAACATGCCTCGACCTCTACTATTATACTTATTTGAGATAGACGGGCGCCAGGCCTAACTTCTGATTGAACTTTGATCACGGAAAAGACAACAACAAGGCCTCGAGGAGCAAACAAAGCTAAAGCTACTCGTTTTTTAAAGGAAATATTACATTTAAAAAACAAAACAAAAAATCCCCAAAGTAAAATTAAAAAAGAAAACAACTTTAGTATTAAGGTAGCTAAGCGAGAAGCTAAGAGTAAGCAACCGAGTACGCGGAATTATTTTTAGTAGTTAAATTAGGGCTGAAGCTTAAACTGGCACTGGTTTAATGTTAGAACAAGGAAGTATCCTGTTGCTTTAGCGGCTGTTTTTACTAGGGTTGACCTCTTTAGGCGTAAAGGAAGTAAAATTAAAAAGAAAATCGTTTGAAACGAAAAACATGCCTCGTGTTGCGTCAGATTTATAAGTATCATTTTTAATTAGTGAAGGTTCATGGCAAGTTTAAAATACAGCACGTTGTCAATAGTTCTGGAAAATTCTTTGTCAGAACTAAACTGGCTTAAATTGTGAGTTGAAAGTAATTTCTTGTTTGTAGATATGCTACCTATAACTGCAGTTCACACTTGAATATTTCTTTCTTGTTTATTTTAGGCAACAAGTTCCTTATTATAATTGTACTTGACATTGTTTTTTGTGCTGTCCTGACTAGTATCATTAAGTGCTTATTTTTAAAGAAATGATTGGAAACTTAGTGGATGTTTTTATTTATTGATTGATTTATTTAAATGGTGGGAATACTTCAGCTTATTTCAGAGCTAGTTTTCTTAGTGTTTTTTTGTTAAGTTGTACAAACCATTAATATTTCAGTAAACTGTAATAGTATTTGGTGTGTGGAAAAATCTATTTTCTTTTTCTTGAGTGTGTCTTTACTTTTTTTTTTTTTTTTTTTTTTGTCCCAACAGACCTGAAAATCTTAGAGGGTACATTTCCTGGAATGCTGGATACTGAGTCCCCTGCCATGGAGAGCAATGGGGATGCCTTTCTTCCAGACCTTCCTGTCGTAGGCCAAGCGACTGACTGGTCACTAGACCAGGTTGCTCCAGAGCCTCTCTCCAATGTCTTACCTGAGGATTCAGATGTGTCTCAGGATGCCATGGGACAAGAGCAACAACCGGGGCAGCAAATGAATTCCACAGATCTGGGATCTGTGGAGAAGGCTGTGGAACAATTTCAACTTGCCAATGCTCAGCTCTTTCAAGAACACCCACCTCCACCACCGCCACCTCCTCCCCCTCCACAGCCCACAGAAGATGCACAGCAAGCAACAGAACCTGTAGGGTCTGAGCCTTGCAGCCAGGACATGAATATTGAGTCTGAATCCATTGGACAGACTGACAGTCAAGGTAACTTAAAACTTGTTTTTCAGTTGGCTCAATTAATTTAATAATAAATGCTTAGTCATGAAGTTGACTCTGGTCCAATTGTTAGTGTAACGTCGTAAGATTTAGCTAGTTTTCAACAAGCAACCAAGAAAGGTACTGTGTAGAATCAGCATAGTGTCTCTGTCGGTGCTTACAGTAACTAATTTATTGAAAAGAAAACTGTCAACAAATGACACATTATGCACAAATCATAAACTGTAATTTTGTAGTTAAACTCACTTGATGATTCCTTGTCAACTTCTCTAGATGGGACAGAGGCTACACAGGTGGCAGAGGATGGCATGGAGCTAGAAGACCCATCCAAAGAAACAACAGAAGAAGAAGCTGTTCCTACAGATCCCGAACTGCCCTCAGAGTTTGAAAAGCTTTTTAAGGGAGTTGAGGAAAACCCAGAAGATTTCAATGCGTGGGTCTATCTGCTGCAGTATGTAGAACAAGAGGTAAACAGAAGGAACACACATTTACAAAACTGAGTGAAAATTATATTCTTGTCCAATAAATTTGAACAGAAATTACTTGTAATGCTAAAAAGAGGTGGTTAAATTGTTGCAATTTGGTCTTTCTGCTTCTTTACAGAATGTCCTTACAGCAGTGAGGAAGGCATTTGATGTGTTTTTCCTACGTTATCCCTACTGCTATGGCTACTGGAAGAAGTATGCAGATATTGAGAAAAAGCACGGCAATGTACAAGTTGCAGAAGAAGTAAGTATGCCTTTTGTACTCACACGTGTTGCTTTGTTTGTTTGTTTTTAACTTGGTGTGCCTGCTTTTCTGTGTCATCCATAACTGACCAGCTAGAATAATCTGTTAAGAACCAAAATTTGGGGCATAAAAACTCAGACTTTTATGAACAAACTCATTTTATTTATTTTTTTACAAGGTGTACAGAAGAGGTTTGCAGGTCATCCCTCTCAGTGTCGACCTGTGGATCCACTATTTGACCTTCATCAAAGAGAATTCTGATCCTAATGACCCAGAGACTGAGGGGCGCATTCGAGCGTGAGTAAAGTCTTTTTATAGACACACACACACTCTACTGTTTTACTTTCTTCTCAAATGTTAACGAGTTAATGAGACATTTCATGAATCTTCTTTCCTTTTTTGTTTTCCTATTAGCTCCTATGAGCATGCAGTGCTTGCAGCAGGCACTGACTTTCGCTCAGACCGTTTGTGGGAATCGTTCATAAACTGGGAGACAGAGCAGCAGAAGTTGGGTAACGTCACCGCCATCTATGACCGCATCTTGGGCATTCCAACCCAGCTGTATTCCCAGCACTTCCAGAGGTACAGTAAAATAACAGTTTCCAGATTTGTTTGAAAGTTTGCATTCACTCGATGAGTGTGTTATAAAATCATCATAAAAGGCAAATATAAAGTTTTTAAAATTACAA